AATAGAACATATATACAGTCTGCAACAAATTATAATATCACAAGTGTCTTTTACTAATATACTGTTTTGCATATACTCAATTGTTATGATAGACATGAGTAACCACACTATAGTAGTCTAGTAGGTGTAACTGTTGTAGGCATAGAGAAGGACAACAGCAACACTGCTTTGAGTTGAGTGAGTAATTGCTTATTGTCTGTACATCATAACAGTATATTGATACTAATGGCTGCTACTGGTATCTACTGGTGTCTAGTACTGACTGAATGTTTGTGTCTCATTTCTGTATTTAGTGAGTTAATTCACTGTAGTATAATATTTTAACCAACAGTCTAGCTTCAGCAGCTTATATATCTTCATTCACTTATACTCCTTATCCTGTTGTGTGTCCTGGAGATGAACTAGTGTTCACTTGTATAGTGGATGATATACCTGAACCAACAATAGCATGGAGGAGAAATGGGATGACAGTGATTTACGAACAGAATAAACAATCTCTTCCATTTCCTGATTTCATGATAAATATTACTTATTACAATGCTACAGAAAGAAAACTGATTAGTACTGCTACAAGTCAGTCAGTGCCAGTGGAATTGAATGGGAGTACAATTGGTTGCACAATTGATTTGAATAATTTCAATACATCAAATATAAACATAGAAGGTATACAATTTTTGGCATTAATTAATTTCTTAAAACAGGTCCACCAGAAGGAGTTCATAACATAACAATTAATCTGATAGCTGACAATAATTTAGTCATTAACTGGACTGCTTCAGGATCATACATAAGCAACTATAACATTACTATATTTAGAAATGACACCCCTAGTCAATCCAGCACTACTGACATCCCTTATATAGCAGTTAATACTCTTATTATTGGTACTAATTATTCACTGATTTATTATTATTCCTATTGACACTATTGGAAGAGAAGTCCTTCCTTTATCATTAATACAGTATATATGGGATGGTGAGAACACACACACACACACCCTCACTGTATTTCTTATAGTGCCGGCTCAAGTTATTAATATTAGTTGGTATCAGATATCAACTGATAGCGTCACAATAATGGTGGAATAACAATAAAGCAAGTTAACTGATGATAAATTGTTGGTAATAACATTTATTAGGATACTATAACATTACGTAGGCCTCCAATTGAGTACTACATTATAAATGTATGCATTACAACAATTTGTATTAATAGTTGTTCTGTGTATAGTTATAATGTAACAGATACTAATACTACTATTACTGAACTATATCCTATTAATAAATACTGATCATAATTTTTGATGCAAAGTCATTTAACTCTCCCATATTCTATCAATCATATATCAAATAGTAACTTATATATACCTTTCAACTTATGCACTTTTATATTGTTGCTATAAAAACAGAACAAGGTAGTAAAGTTAGTAAGTCCAGGAATAGGTTCATCTTCCTCATTGAACAGGTTACCAATTATATAGTGCAGACACTGAATCTGTAGAGGAAAAGAAAGAGAATCTATCAAATAAATGAAAATTTAATACTATGTACATGTACTTGATTTTGAATCCTGAATGTGATTACAAGTGATCAGTTCAGTGAGTCCAAGCTTTTAAATGCATGTGTTAAACCAAAGATAAAAGCATGTTACAACTAATACATTTCAGTATTGTTAGGAAATCCTGATAAAAACATAGCTCAACCCCACTTGGAAATCTTGCATGCTAGCTGTCTTTGCAACCACAGAATTGAAAGTAAAAATGCAATTGTGTACAAAGTATACTAAATGAGCCATTACTATTATCAAGAGTACATAATTTATACTTGCTATTATATATTTTAGAATGAGCTTTGCACCTATCCCCTTGGAGATAACAATGGAGTGTCAGTTTACAATAGATTCCCTTCTACAGTAAACTTAGCTATTTTGAGTGAAGTATAAATTAAAATACAAGAAGACTATGTATCTTCATATAAAACTAGACACACTGCAGTCTTGAAAATAAGGATTAGAATTTTTGGTACATGCATGTTTGTATCAACTCCTAATAGATCTATACATTTGTAATTAATGTTAGCTTATCAATAAGTACCTTAAGGTGGATTTACAATATTACACTAGCCCAACATACTGTCAATTTTTAATCAAAAGCATAGGCGATTTGACCTTTTGACGCATGCTTCACACTGGAGTTGAACCAGATTCAACTCCAGCATCTACCTATCGTCAGGACTAGCGTCATATTGTAAATATGGCATTAGTAGATATAAAGCTATACTAAGTATATAATTGCTATCACTCAATTGATCAAAAATAGTATGCAATGACAATTAACCAACATTTAGCTGCTATTATTGCAAAATTAACCAAAATTGGTTAAATCAATAGATGAAAATTAATTATGGTTAAATTATCAATTTCTTTTTCATATATAAAGTTTAATTTAACCTAATTTTTCCTATAAGTAGCCAAAAAAACTCAAAACAATTTTTAAAATTATATCTATTGTTAACACTACAAGCAATTGAGTATGTAGAAATTGTTCAGGGATTCATAGATCCACCATGCAACACACAGCTGCAGGAGTAAAATTATGTTCTGCATTAGTAGTTTATTCCAATTAGGATAGCAACCGCAATGATTGACAAAGCAGCAAAAGGATACAACCCCTTAGCAGAACTTGTGCCATTTGCAGTTTGTTCAGTTCCAGTGCTGTTAGGAGTAGGAGGGCTACTGCTGGTAGGAGTAGGAGTGCTACTGCTGATAGGAGCAGGAGTGCTACTGCTGGTAGGATTGACAATAGTGGGATTATTGGTCATGCTAGTAGGTGTGGTGCTATTAGAGCCACAAGGAGGATCAATTGTGACTCCACAGTTCTGAACAGTAAATAAATAACCAAGAGTACAGCAACCCATAATTGAAGAAAAAGTAGAAAGACCATCGTAACAAGATTGAGGTTGAGGACTTGTATTGTTGCATGCCGTGGGTAAATCATTTTTTGGCACATTTTCCAAATTACAGGTATAAACTTTAGCCTCGGGGATAGCAAGCTCACCTTTCAAACGGCCACCTTTAACACGACAGTATTCTCCATTTTCATTTCCACAAAGGTAATTTTGTACAAAAAGTGAATAATATATGTGAAAGTTACTAGAATAGTTCAGCCCGGTACTAAGACACCAATAATACTGCAGAACAGGATTAATACAGGCCGGAATACAGTTTTCAGCATAAGCTAAATTCAGTGCTGCTAGTTCTTCACTGGATCCTTCTGGAAACTCAGATACAGAAGAGCCGACGCCGAATACGGTAAGGTTACAACTTGGTGGTATAGTGTTATTTAGCTGGGTTTCACAATAATCTCGAAATGCTTGCCGTTTAGTGCGACCATAGTTATTCAATGACAGTGGTGATCTTTTATAGCGGCCTTCATGCGCTATGCAGACGGCGACACAAGCAGCAAAGACGAGTGTGAGAACGGTGGACCATCTATGGGTAGACATTTGGAAGTCGGGCCGGGGAAAATAGTCTGGCTAGCACAGTATGGCAGTATCCAGAAGAGTGTATTTATGATCATCAGGCCACAATGAGACCCGGCGCGGCCGGCTGCGCTTCCGCTCCAGCATATAGAGATATGGCTCCAGTTGCAGTGACCCATAGCATATGATTAATTCATAGCATAGCAATACTTAGTGGACACGCCCTAAAATTGAGTTATTAGATGTAAAAATGAATAAAAACATTAAAAATTGGAAAACAGTGATGGCAAAGTAATAAATGGGTAATCATGGTAATAGCTATAGATAAATAATTGAAGGAGATCCTACCTGATAAATTCTCTCTCTCTCTCTCTCTCTGTAGTGAGCTGACTCATCGTGACATCACATCAGAACTCATGAATATTGATAAATTATCTTTGTATAATAATGCGTGCAGTTGCTGTGTAATTATCATAATTAGTGTTTGGGTGTCAACATGAGGCATTGTTAGCTCTCTCTCTAGCGCAGCAATCCTGTCTGCATTCATGCTAGCCACTAGCCAGCACTCATTCATAGCACTAATCTCATTTGCTATCCTCTCTCTCTCTCCCTCTCTCTGCAACATGTCACTGTTAGGATCGAGAACATGATAATTAAGGGTACACTAATTAATGGGTACACTAATATATAAGCCACTGATAATGAAAAGGTCATATCTTAAAGTAATTCTATTTTTTATCAACATTATACTAAGTCTCTGTCAAAATTCACGGTTGTTATTGTGTGGTTTATACTTGTACATCTGTTAAACTCACCTTTTTTTCTAATTCTGAGAAATACACTACACATGTGTTAGTATAACATAATATTATATCACAGCATATTGTCATTGTTTCATTTATGTATATACAATGAGATATTATGATATTGTATGCATATTATATTGTATTTTTACTTTGCACATTCATACTATTTTACTATAAAAAAGGCTTAAAGTTAGATATACATATCAGTAAAATTAAATTAATGTTAAAAACTGCAAATATAGTTGTAATGATTTTAAATCCATAGAAGTTTGATAAAGAGTTTAGCAGACATTTGGTTCTAACTCAAAAAAATTATGTTGAAATCAGCTCAAACTTTTTATACAGCATAAGAACATTAATGTGTATTAGAAAATGTGATAGAATTTTGGGTTGATTTTGGAACCAGTTTGTAGGAAAAAACCATCGGCTATACTATAGCCTTATGCTTAATTCCTAAATTTGCTAATTTTTAATCGCTGTAACTCCAAAAATATTAGTCAAAATCAGCTCAAACTTTCTAAACAGCATAAGGACATTAATGTGTGTCAGAAAATGTCATAAAATTTGGGGGTAATTTTAGAGCCATTAATTCAAAAAAACTTTCCAAAAGTTTGAAAAAATGGCTATAACTTGAAAATTTTCAGTAGGAATCAGCTCAAATTTTTTAAGCGATAGCTAAAAAAAGACAGTCGTTGGGAATCCTACTTGCCTTTGTTTGTGATACTTTTTTGACAATTTGGCACAAAGTGGTTCACACTCTTTATTTTTTTCTAAAACTTTTAGCGAAATTTGGCAAAAAATGATAAGGAGAGAATTTAGCATTTTCACTACATTTTTGATACATATACATGTTTAGTTTTAATGTGTACAAATTTCAGATTTTTAGAAATTTTTAAAGCTTGCACACACCTTAATTTATACTTTGAGTTTATAAATTATGGTTTAATAAACCTTTAAAAATTTTTAATTTTGATGTATAAACTACATTGCTGTACTGATCATAATTTTTAAAATGTAAAATTATTTACTCTCCCCTAGCTTGTCCATTAATATATCACAATTGATGTACCTTTCAATTAATGCAGATTTATATTGTTGGTAGAAGGAGTTTGCATGATATAAACAGAACAACGTAGTAAAAGCTAGGCCAATACTAGGTTTATCTTTTTCATTGAACAGGTTACCAATTAAATAGTGCAGACACTGAATCTGTAGAGTAAATGAGAGAGAATCTATCAAATAATGAAATAATGTGTACTTGATTTTGAATCCTAATTACAAGTGATCAATTCAGTGAGTCAAAGCTTTTACATTGTATATACATGTCTGTATTGGTGTTAAAGCAATAATAAAAGCATTCTACAACTTTGTATGTATGGTACCAGGAGCTGGTACATAATTATTACTAATGGCACAAGGTCATGAACATTTCACTTTCTAATGGTTTACTAACAGTAAAATGATAATGAACATCACTTATAATGTTTATAATAAAAACAACAAATTTTCAAAACAATAATAAGCAGCTTAATATTTAGAGTAAGTTATAATAATCAGTGCATACAGTGAACATTGTAATTATTAGGTTATGCTTCATGTAATACTACAGGAACTGTACGATCAACAAGTGTAGGATCTATTTGTGGCTAGTTAATACATTAAGTGCATCTAATCTATTACACACACACACAGAGTTGTTATTGCTGTACCTATCACTGGTCTATTAACTGCACTTATCACTGCAATAATTACTAGTATCATTGTATGCTTAATAATGAAAAAGAGAGGGACTACAATACAAAATAAAACTCCAGGAGGAGGAGGAGGAGGAGAAGCAGTTATTGGTCCAATATATGATTTACCAACAATCATTACTGAACAACAAGAACAAATCATTGATACTAAACTTAATACTGCATATCGACAAACTAATATATAAAATGAAGAATAAGACTTGACGACCTTAATAGAACATATATAGTCTGCAAACAAATTATAATATCATAAGTGTATTTTACTAATAATACTATTTTGCATATACTCAATTGCTATGATAGACATGAGTAACCACACTATAGTAGTCCATAAGTAGGTGTAACTGTTGTAGGCACAGAGAAGGACAACAGCAACACTGCTTTGAGTTGAGTGAGTAATTGCTTATTGTTTGTACATCATAACAGTATATTGATACTAATGGCTGCTACTGGTATCTACTGGTGTCTAGTATTGACTGTATGTTTGTGTCTCGTTTCTGTATTTAGTAAGTTAATTCACTGTAGTATAATATTTTAACCAACAGTCTAGCTTCAGCAGCTTATATATCTTCATTCACCTATACTCCTTATCCTGTTGTGTGTCCTGGAGATGAACTAGTGTTCACTTGTATAGTGGATGATATACCTGAACCAACAATAGCATGGAGGAGAAATGGAATGACAGTGATTTACGAACTGAATAAACAATCTCTTCCATTTCCTGATTTCATGATAAATATTACATATTACAATGCTACAGAAAGAAAACTGATTAGTACTGCTACAAGTCAGTCAGTGCCAGTGGAATTGAATGGGAGTACAATTGGTTGCACAATTGATTTAAATAATTTCAATACATCAAATATAAACATAGAAGGTATACAATTTTTGGCATTAATTATTAATTTCTTAAAACAGGTCCACCAGAAGGAGTTCATAACATAACAATTAATCTGATAGCTGACAATAATTTAATCATTAATTGGACTGCTTCAGGATCATGTATAGACAACTACAATGTTACTATATTTAGAAACAATACCCCTAGTGAATCCAGCACTACTGACAACCCTTATATAGCAGTTAATACTCTTATTATTGGTACTAATTATTCATTCATTATTATTCCTATTGATACAATTGGAAGAGAAGGACCTCCTTCATCATTAATACAGTATATATGGGATGGTAAGAACACACACACACACACACACTCTCACTGTATTTCTTATAGTACCAGCTCAAGTTGTTAATATTACTTGGTATCAGATATCAACTGATATTGTTACAATATGGTGGAATAATGAAGCAAGCTAATTTATGTTAATTTGTTGATATTAACTTTTATTAGGATACTACAATATTACGTCCTCCTATTGAGTATTACATTATAAATGTATATATTACAACAATTTGTATTAATAGTTGTTCTGTGTATAGTTATAATGTAACTGATACTAATACTACTATTACTGGACTATCTCCTATTAATGAATACTACACTCTTACTATCATACCTGTTAATGTTATTGGATATGGAACATCACTCACTGTTAATGGTATATAGTGCCAATACCTAATGTATAGTGTATTATTACTATAATAGTCAGTATAACTAATATTGTGATGAGTACTACTGAGTATACCATGACACAAGATATGAGTATTGCTAAAACAACAATCACAGTCACTCAAACAATAATAAGCAGTTATATTGAGAGTAAGTCAAAAATTAGGAAATATACAGTGAACATTGTAATTATTAGGTTATGCTTCATGTAATACTACAGGAACTGCACAATCAACAGATGTAGGATCCATTAGTGGTTAGTCAATACATTAAGTGTATCTATAATCTAATTAACACACACACAGTTGCTATTGCTGTACCTATCACTGGTCTATTAACTGGACTCATCACTGCAATAATTACTAGTATCATTGTATGTTTAATAATGAAAAAGAGAGGGACTACAATACAAAATAAAACTCCAGTAGGAGGAGGAGGAGATGCAGCAGTTATTGGTCCAATATATGATTTACCAACAATCAATACTGAACAACAAGAACAAATCATTGATACTAAACTTAACACTGCATATGGACAAACTGAGAAGAATCAAGAATCTCTATAGACCTATTTTGCATAACGTGCTACACATACAGTCTGCATACAGTATTATATTGTTGTTGCATGTTAATTAAATACTATTAACATATGCTCAATTGTTATGATAGACATGAGTAACCACACACTAGTTGTCCAGTAGGTGTAACTGTTGTAGGCACAGAGAAGGACAACAGCAACACTACTTTGAGTTAAGCGAGTAATTGCTTTTTGAAGTTTTTATTTCTCTTATTGATACTAATGGCTACTACTGGTGTCTACTGGTATCTTGTTTTGATCAAATGTTTGAGTCTTGTGGTATCCAGTGAGCCTTTGATTATGATTTTACTATTTTTACTGTATTATTTGCTACAGATATGGCAGTGCTTACTCAAACTTATCCACCTTATTCTCCTGTGTGTCCTCATGACAGACTAGTTCTTTCTTGTGTATTTCATGGTACAGGAGATGTATACTGGCGAACAGATAATAATCTTGCATATACTGGAGTGTTCAATGGCAGTGTACGATTACTGGGTAGTTTCTTAATATCTACTACAAGCAACAGTACTACAACAGTAATTACTGCTACCAATGAGTCTATTCCATTGTCCACTAATGGAGTGACAGTTGGTTGCATAAATTCATCATTAGAAGCAAATTTATATACAATTAGCATAGCAGGTTAAGTTATTATGATCCTTATGTTTGATATAAATAATATTTATAGGTCCACCAGACTCAATATATAATAATGCAACTATTGTTCCTATTAGCAATGATATGCTTCTTATGAATTGGAATGCTTCAGGATCATGTATAGATTACTATAATGTTACTATTATTAGTAACAATACACATAAAGAATCTAGTGTTACTAACAACACCAATATAACTATTAATAGTCTTATTATTGGTACTAATTATTCATTCATTATTATTCCTATTGATAATATTGAAAGAGAAGGACCTCCTTCATCATTAATACAGTATATATGGAATAGTAAGAATTACACACACTTACACACACTTACACACACTTACACACACACACACACACACACACACACACACACACACACACACACACACACACACACACACACACACACACACACACACACACACTCATTGTATTTCCTTTTAGTACCAGCTCAAGTTGTTAATATTAGTTGGTATCAGGTATCAACTGATAGCGTTACAATATGGTGGAATAATGAAGCAAGTTAAAATATTAAATATGTTAAAATTGTTGATAATTAGTTATATTAGGATGCTACAACATTACGTCCTCCTATTGAGTATTACATTATAAATGTATATATTACAACAATTTGTATTAATAGTTGTTCTGTGTATAGTTATAATGTAACTGATACTAATACTACTATTACTGAACTATCTCCTATTAATGAATACTACACTGTTACTATCATACCTGTTAATGTTATTGGATATGGACCATCAGTCACTGTTAATGGTATATAGCATCAGTGCTTAATATACTGTATAAATTATTACTATAGTCAGTATAACTGCTACTACATCAAGTACCACTAACATTATGATGAGTACTACTGAATTTATCACAACACAAAAAAGAAGTTCAGTTATGCCAACAATAATTACAATAACTGAAACAATCAGTAGTTGTGCTGACAGTAAGTTATAATAATCAGTACATGCATGCATGCAGTGAACATATTGTTTATTAGGTTATATTTCAATTGTGACAACAACTATGTTACAATCAACAAATATTGGATCCATTAGTGGTTAGCTAGTACAATAAGTGTATCTTTTAATCTATTACACACACAGTTGCTATTGCTGTACCTATCACTGGTCTATTAACTGGACTCATTACTGCCATAATTACTAGTATCATTGTATGTTTAATAATGAAAAAGAGAGGGACTACAATACAAAATAAAACTCCATTAGGAGGAGGAGATGCAGCAGTTATTGTTCCAATATATGATTTACCAACAATCAATACTGAACAACAAGAACAAATCATTGATACTAAACTTAACACTGCATATGGACAAACCAATATGTAATGTAGTTCACATTTAAATGTAAAATGAAAATAAGAAACTGTTAATCATAATCAACAGTTCTGATCTAAAATACTCACTCAACTAATGTGATACAATGAAAAAGAGAGAAAGGTAGTGTGTGAATAGTTCCACAAAACTTCAAAAAAAAATTAGCAGCAATTCATTCACAAAGAGTCCTCCAAATCTTCCAAATCTTTCCTCAGCTTGCTTCCATCAGCTGTATCAACACTTAACTGTGTATTCATTTCAATATAAGTGGTAGGTACAGCATTTGCTTCATGAGAACTTTCAGTATCATCTTTCAAATTTGACAAGTCAGCCCTCATTTGTGGCAACTTCTTGCAGCATTTCTTTTTAACCAGACCGAGTAAAAGGCAAATAATGATAAAGATGGGAAGAAAGACCAGAACTAATTGAGTGTAACCAATTGCAATCATGAGTTTATCTTGTGAGTATGTGTCTGATTGAACAAACCGTGCTAGTGTCAGTGTATTGATTATGCCCATTAGTAAGAACAGGCAGCCATCAATGTTGTTGTGAAGCTTATTCTTGTATGGCTGGAACTTTAAATGAATTGCTAGTATTATCATAACAACAACTTGAGCCATGGAGAGTGAAGCCAGTGGTACGTTAATGAGTGAAAATATACTGACAAATATAACACGATAGAGAAAATACAGTCCGGAAAAGAAACGGTATTTGTCCTTAAAGCAACCTTGAAAGGCATCAAAAATTGGCTTGAACATTTCCACCCTTCGAAACAAATTTTTTGTCACTTTATTTTTCTGAGGAAACACTTTATAAAATAAAGGATAAGCAATAAGAAACAATGGAGTAAAAATGACAATTGTTACGATTGCTATTATTGCAGCAATAAAGAATGGTATGTGAACACCAGTCAAGTATGCTTGACTCCCCATCTGTTGCACACGCAATGGGAATATTACACTGCTTCCTTTATTGGTCAAGATTCCTATTGCCAATATCTTGAAGCATATTTGGGTTGTCTGCGAGTAACAAAGTATGAGGAATGTAGTGAGGGCCTTTGTTAGGGTTGTTGGTTTAAAGAATGGTCTCTTGCAACAGGCAGTCTGCAACCTGTAGAAATAGTGAGACTTCATTACAGACACAAGAGTCACGACTAAGAGAAGAGCAAAAACAAGAGATAAAATCTCAATTCCCATAATGACAAAAAAGTTTGCATTTTTAAAGAGACAAAAAGAGAGGATGTCATCATAAAAGAAGCGCAATGAGAATGGGCCATAAATTAATGCTGATATTATATGGAAAACCCTCTCAGAGAATGAGACATAAGAGACACTGCTAGCTGTTGCTGTAAAGTATCCCACAATCTGGGAAAAGAAGACAAACCCATTCCATGCACCAGAGTTAAAGTTTACCCCAAGCATTATGATAATTGTGAATGTTAGGGTCAGTGGTATGATACTTGATAATATATAAAACAGTGGCCCATAGGAGCAAAGCTCATTATTGCCACACTTGTATCCTGGGGAGTTGTAATATACAGAGTTGTTCTCAATACAGTCACTACATAAAATCCCAGTACGATTATTAATACCACATATCAATAAATCTAATTGGGAAAATGATGGGACAGAGGGTAAGACATGAAATGTCTCATTGTAATTGCAATATTCTTGTGGACACAGTCTGCTAAATAAAGTGTCCTCTGATTCGTTTCCTATATAGCCCACCCAAAACAAAGAGCTAATGGAAGCCTCAAATTCCCTATTATCACAGCGTACAATACCATAGTAGTGATCACTGTCATAATCAGCAGAGCAAACACAGGTATTGTTTTTGTTAACAAAGCCAGGAGGACAGGCAGACATCGTAATGTCAATTCCAACAGTCAAATTACAAAAATAAAGGGTACCTATTTCAAGATGGCCAGTATCATTAGGTTGTCCACTCATCTTGAACCTGTTGTTAGCAGTATATCTGTTATTAAGATAAAGAGACTCATCATTAGTTGTTAATATACCAAACAGTAGCTCCATTGACCTGTGTCCCAGCTCATCATGAGTAACAAATGAGATCAAAACATTTTTACCAGGTACAACTTTTTTACTGCCTTGCTATCTTTATGCAGTTGATCAAATTCACTGCTCTCTGTGGCTACATTCCCTTGTACTGTTCCATTGTGATCAGAAAAAGTAAAGTTACCAACACACTTTTGGGTGAGTAGTTTCTCTGGTGGCATATAATCTAAGTACACCTTTAAACCCTGACATAACTTATTGCATGGGAGGAGTGAAGACACATAGACTGATTTACCAAATGAGTCAGTGTTGTTTTTAAAGTAAAAAGATATCGTTTCACTTGAATCTGTATGCTCCACAAAACATGATGCTACAATTAAAATTGATGATATAATGGCAGTAGAAAAAAAGAATATTGCCCCTCCTTTGACAGATGTCTTATTATTGAGGAACACAAATGATGTATTACTGCTTGCATATATTGAAGCGAACCCATTGATGGACACTGCACCACCGTATGTGCCTGAATTATTAGAAAAAATGACTGAGGTACCTTGTAATGCTATAAAGTTACTATCAATGAGATAAACAGCAGTGCCATTGTTTTCACTGAATGTAATGAGTCCAGATAATGTGAAAGATATTGCTTTGGAGTTCAATGCACCAGCTCCTACACTTGAAATACCAGCACCAGATGATGAATTCCCAGATGTATTGAATGTAATGTAGTTATTACTAAAGTTACAGTTCAAAAAATGAGGGACTGGGAAAATGTTATTTACTGGAGATTTATTGAATATCGGCTCAAGATAAATGGCAGAGCCATAAGTTGCTTTATTATGCTTCTATACTGTATCATGAAACTCTAAAGTATTGCTAGGATCATTCTGATGAGCAGCAGTGACAAAAAATACAAATCCACCACCAAAGTATGCTCTATTACTGCTAATATTGCAAGATTGCACAATGACATTATTCAATTTGTTTACTGCTGGCTTTCTGAAAACAAAACCAACCTCCAAGCCACCTCCACCCAGCAGTGCATTGTTATTAAAGATTGTCACATTATTTACCCTAATTCCATTATTAGTGGAGCTCTCCCTGCAAAAGATGTATAGACCGCCACCATAGAGTCCACTATTGTTGGTAAAGACAGAGTTTTCAATATTTATTGTGTTATTGTGTGCAAATCCTGAGAGAAACACAGCTAAACCCCCACTTGGAAATTCTGAATTTGAAAACATGCTAGCTGTCTTCACAACCACAGAATTGAAAGTAAAACTGCAATTGTGAACAGTAAACATGCCATTACTACTATACATGTTAGAATGAGCCTCACAATTATCCTCTTGGAGATAACAACAGAGTGTCAGTTTGTAATGAATTCCCCCTACACCATAAACTAGACTTCCTATTGATGGACTCAGAAATCCAGGAGTGTTGTTAAAAAAACTTGAGTGAAGTATTTTGACTACATTGCAGTCAAACAACGCTAATCGTGACTGTCATTAATGATTGTGTTCCGTATTTCTAAATTGGTACAGCTCTCAATATAGACGGCTGCAGAATAATCATGTGCATTGAAGTACTGATAAGTAAGTCTTATTCTCTGATGCAAAGCACCACAGTTAATAATAAAGAGTCCAGATATTTTATGTTGGAAACATTAATAAATCCTAGCCCATAATGTTGATTGTAAAAAATATTAATTTCATTCCCAACTAATGTAAAGCCACTTAGGCCAGACACATTTACAAACTGGATTATTGATTTTAGTGTCTCATTTTTATTGAGGAGTAGTAGGACTGCATTGTCACTCACCTCTTCCTGAGATTTTTGCTATTAAGGTACAGTTGTAATTGATCAATACATCACTGCTTTTATTCTCATGAACACATATTTTTTGAAGAGGAGAGACAGAAAGGACACAAGAAAGTTGAAATAAAAGCAGTAAAAAACCAGTTGCAGCAAACATTGTAAGAGCAATGCTAGTATATTAAAACTAAAACTATTCAAGTTACTTATTATGCATATGTACATTGAACTACAATACATTTTGACATATTACACAAGCAAAATACCACTAACAATCATGCAGGTATCGTCAATACTCTAGTTGGATGTACATGAATAAATTCAATATTTTGTAGAGGGGTTTAATTTTGTTGGTACAAAATTTTGCGAAATTGTCAAATTTGTTATTTGGCAGCCATTTATACACCTCTTTTATAAACTTTAATCTTGCAAATTCAATGAAAATGTAAAATTAGTGATACTTATTACCAGTGAAACATAACCCCTATATGGCATCTGGAAATTCAGGCTTTATAAATTTTTGCTTTAAAATTATGTCATGTAATTATGCATGTAATCTGATTTTTGCAAATTTCTAATTCAACAAAATTAAAGTCATGTAAAAAAACTTACAGATAGATGGTAGTAGAGTACACTACTGCACAGTACATTATTCAATGATAACAAGAGTCTAATAATGTCACATACAATATATATTACACTATATGTGTAATGTGGCTTACCCAATAAGAAGCACTGTCATACACTTTGCTTTCCTTTCAACCTCAATTTGTCATATTAGCTACAAAAAAATCAATAAAAATAACAGCCAGAACAAAAAATTTAAGTTATCAATTTTGTATCATAAAATCAACATACTGGTAATAGCTATTCTGCCGTATAGCTTGCAACAGGCAAATGATTAATTTAACACTCATGTACACATTATAATCTTGTAGATATTGTACATATGAACTCAAAAATTTTAATAAAAAAACTTAAGTTCTACATACACATATGAGTAATGTAAGGACGTTAACATAACAATAAGAATTGAGAGTGATTTCAGGACCATTTTTAAAAAATTCTAAAAATTGAAAATGCTCATTACTACAAAACATATCATTGGAATCAGCTCATAGTTTCTCTGGGCCATAGCATAAGGAAATCAATGTCATGCATCAGAAAATGTAACAAACATTGGGTGAAGTGATTATAAAACCATTCTTTAAAATAACCATGGGGTGATTATCGTTTTATATTATTATTCATTACTCCATGTTTCGCTCAGCCAGCACTTCATGTGTGTGTGTCTTACTGTAGTGTAGTACATGTAAGTATTCATACCATAAAATCCCCACATAAGTTTCTGCCTTATTTTTAAAACAGTGTGTAGAGTTATTGTCTCCTATAAATAATTATCTCGATGTAAAGGTGAATCAGGTAAATGTGAGAAATTGCTTACCGGTACGTATAGACGCCATTTTTAGGGTGTGGCAATGGCCTTTCACGCATGCTTCCGTGGGTTTGTATCTCGGTTTTGTAGCCTTCTTTTCAGCTTGTGACTTTGAGATTAGGCTCACCACTCGCTTACTTCTTTGTTGCCATGGCTCAACCTCACAGAGACTCAGTGAACAAGAGCAAAAGTTCACGTGAATCACGTCCCGCTGACATCAAAAAGAAAAGGGTAAGCTTGCTTCATAATGATTTTTATTATTATTAACTACATGTATCTACTTTGACATGATTTTAATTGCTGCTGTTTACCAACCGTTTCCTACATCTTGCTTTCTTTCAATGCAGTGGGTAAGTAACAAATGCTGCCTATAATTATCTATAATCGTCATATAATTTTTTACAGACAATACATGTAAGTCAGTGCTCAATATACATGCAATGCATAACTTTAAATTCACTCCTACCTCTTCTGCATTGTCATCTCAACCATTTTAGGAAGTGAGTTTATGTAAATTATTTATTAGCATTATAGCTGTTGTAACTATAATAGCTGTACCATTATCATAACTATTTGGTACATTGTTTAGGTGAACCCAGATGCTATTACACCAACAAGAACTGATTCTTTCATTGCAGCAGAAGGTGAGCTTAGACTAATTCAAAATTGTTAGTAAAATCTCTTTCCATAACCAACCTTATTCATTTCCATAGTTATATAATTGTTGATTTTTTTGGCTTTCAATAATAACAATTGACAACAACTCCATATGCTGGGTAAAAATAATGCTGTCTAGCTGGAAATTTTTATCATTGTAATTTTAATTTTACTGGATTACAGTTTTGCAAAATAGATTAGGCATATAATTACATGCCACATTCAATAATACATGACACAGTCTTATTATAAGTACAAAATTTTAATACACAAAGATTTTCCACTGCATATAAATTTCCTGCATACTTGACTATATGATAAAAAATTACAATCTACCTATTGACATAGATTTTCACATGCAGTGCAGAAAGTGCTAGAGATTGTATGGAAACAGGAAACACTTAGATCTATTAGCATGATGCATGGTGTTTGCAGGTGCAATTTAAACCATGGAGTTTTTAAGAGAAGAGTTTACTGTAATATCTTACATAAATGTAGCTTAAGGTTTTAGCCTAGTTTATAAATATTACCTATAAGCATTAAATGGGATCACTATTCCTATTATTTTAATAGTATTTTTGAAATCCCTTTCTTGGTAAATATGAGAATTTTCCCAGTTTCTAAATTTGTAGCTACATACCATATAGCAGGAAATATTGGAGGGAATTAGATTTGGCATTTTGATAGCCATTTGCCAAAATAAAATCCGCCATTTCATGCTCAATGGCATGTGGTCACTAATTCGCCAAATTAAAATTCGCCAATCATCAAGATTTAACAAATTGCCAAATTTACCTCCCTCCAAACTTTCCCACTATACAGTAGATCTAGTACCTAATCTATAAATTTTGATACTCCTATACTGAGCATAAACAATAATACCATTATCACATAGCCTGATCATATCCCCTGTGCATGGAAGCTGTTGTCTGGCTATGCAAGACTAATACTATGCTAATACCAATCTGTGAAATTTTAATCTACAAATTATGTGCACTTAAATTACTGAAATAACATCACAAAAACAATTTTTTCAAAGTCATTAATTTATTGTAATACCATAGAGCAATCTTTTTTGAGAGCTATATATTGTGCAAATTTCATGACCTTGATTAATATATTACAATTGCAAGAGGATGTTACACATATGCATTTTAAAGTAAAAATGGTGTTTACTAATTTTTTAATGAGTTCAGACAGTAGACTTAATGCTTTTTTTCAAAGTCTACTGGTCTTCTGTCAAATCATGTACAAGATCATGCTTGCAAAATTTACTTTTCACTAAAAAAAGGGAATTTGAAATGAATAGCCCTTTGCCCTACTGTAATTCATAAATAGATCTTAGACTAAGTGTATGTTGCCATTGATGAACTCCCATTCCTGTACCCAAGTGTACAGGAATGGGAGTTAATACTAAGTGTACAGGAATGGGAGTTAATACTAAGTGTACAGGAATGGGAGTTCAACATTCCTGTATATGAACTCCCATTCCTGTACCCAAAAGAGAATGCCTTAGCAGGTAACATTTGTTATTGGTCCATTCAACTGCGACACATTGACAATTACCTAGATCAGAGTTTCCCACAAGCATGCTAAGTGAGCTAAAGTGCATGTTTCATGAGCTGATAAGTACTACAATACAATACATGGCTTTTGGAGTAACTTTAAAAATTCATAAAAATCCAATTTTGATTGTAATCGGCTCAATGTTGATACACAACATAAGTACATAATATATTTGTCAAAAATTATAAAAGTGAACAATTTTCTCCCACCATTATCTGAATAATATAGCCACAGACCTAAGATTTTAGTTGTTGGCTCAATTATTGAGCTCCTTTAAAAATTAATAAAAAATCCAAACTTGATCAAAATCAGTTAAAAGTTGATACACAGCATAAGGACATGTATATGTATATGTATCTGAATAAAACATAAAACTCAAGAATTTTGTCCTAGCATGTTTTCACAAAATTTCCAAAGTCCCAGGGTGTTTGTCTTGATTTTTAAGCAACTTTAGAAATTTCCTGAAACTTGATAGTTGATACACAAGTTAAGGACATGAATATGTATTAGAAAAAAATAATGATAATGGCACCATAAAATTTGGACATTTTGAGCAACTTTAAATATTAATAAAAAATCCAAATTTGAGCAGAATCAAATCTAAGTTCATACTTAACATATGGAGATGTATATTTTGTCAAAATACCCTATAAACCTACTATAGTACATGATTTTTAACCCCATTATTGAGCAACTTGACAATCTACTGACAAGAAGCTCCACGAGCACTATGCCAATTAATCTCCTGTGAAAAACTCTGACTTCAATCATGCATGAATGCAGTAAGCCTGTAGCAATTAAAGAAGCTAACAGATATGCAGGGCTGAGGGCCCTGTGGCCTAACACTGTATTGGACCATAAGGCCCTCGGCTCTGCATGCATGTCCTTTAGCCTTTCTAATTGCTATACAGCTGCTTTACAGTAGCAATGGCATCAAGCAGTACCATCAACAGATATAATTTTTATTAAAATCTTATTATATCAAATCTTTATTAGAAGTTTATGATGACAAACTTGCGATGAGGGAAGTTGATGTTGCCTATTCACGTATTATGCTCCTTGGCACAGCTGGTGTAGGGAAAACCAGCTTCAAGCGAGGCCTAATGAATGAGCAGTGGGACTGTAAAGCAGACAGCACTCTGGTTAGTGACATTAACACGCTTCGACCTGTTGGACACGAGTGGCATACACTGTCAAGGCGTAGCAAATATTGGAAGCTTGTTACGGAAGATGATGAAATAGATGAGTTAGCTCACCTTCTTGCTGCTGTTCACAATGATCCAGATGCATCTATGAAATTGCTTAGTACAGTAAAAGCACTTTCACTCTATCGCTTAAAGCAAGAGTCTTCTATATCTGCCTCAAAATTATCCAAGGATGATATACGCAATATTCAAGAGTCCAAAGTTAATGTTTTCTTATCAAAGGCATTTGAACGTGCTCGGTGGATTAATAATGCCAAAATAAACCCACTTCCACTGCTTCATGTATGGGATTGTGGAGGCCAGCCAGTTTTTCTGGAGATTCTTCCAGCATTCCTCACCTCTCGTTCAATGTTTCTCCTTTTATTTGACGCATCTAAGAGTCTTAATGATAACTGGAAATCAATTTTGACAAATAATGGCACCCTGGTAGAGGATGAAGTAGGCAATACGACAACAAAAGATCTTTTATTTAGATGGATGGCTAATATTCATCATCAGCTTGCAAAGAAAGATGAACTTGGAGGTCTTCGGGATTATCCTCGAATGTATTGCATTGGTACCCATAAGGATATAATTAAAAGTAGCAAAAAAGCTGAAGAAGTCAGAAGCATGCTGAAGGAAAGCTACAAAAGCATGGCATTTGCTCACTTGATCCAGGATACATTAATTGTCGATAATACAACAGCTGGCACGAGTGAAAAAGAAGACAGCAATTTCAAGATTGTTCGTGATGAAATTAGTAATTTTACATTTAGTAAGCTGTCAGTGAAAGCACCATTGTGCTGGGTCCTTTTTAGAAATGTTATCCAGATGCTAGATACAAAAGTAATTAGTCTAAAAGAAGCTCATGCTATAGGAGCTGCTTGTAAGATTCCACATAGTGATGTCCCAAAAGCTCTACTTTTTTATCATGATCTAGGAGCAATTTTATTCTATCCTAACATTGAAGGTCTTAAGGAAAAAGTTATTGTCGATCCAAAATGGTTTGTGGATATGTTAGGAAGAATCTTTACTCTCCAAGGAAGGGAAGAATATCAGACAGAAAGCATGTGGACTCTACTACGAGAAAAAGGTATCCTTGTTCAAGCTCTTTATGTTGGTGTCTGGAGAGAATGCAGTGGCATACTGCCAAATGAGTTTATGGATCTACTTATTCATTTTCGTCTCGCTGCTGAAGTCAAGACAAGGTTGTATTATGATGAAAGCGCCAAGCAATACTTTTTGCCTGCTGTACTCAAGTTTTATGATGGCAACCCTGAGCAGCAGAAAGGAGCCACAGCTGGATACTTGGCTAGAGCGACCCCCCTACATATCACATTCAGTGCCAATTTTGTACCTCCAGGCTTTTTCACTCGTTTTATCACTGCATTAGCTGAATCTCCTATGTGTGAACTTAATTTTGATGAGGAAATTTACAGAAATCGCATTAGTATGAAGTTTGGGGATCCATGCATTGACCACATTGTACTCATTGATCTTGGATACGCTATACAAGTTGAAGTCATGCGTTATATGCACACTGAGCATAGTTCTTTCAGTGATGTGTGCCAATGCCTTCTGAGTTTATTAAATAAGTGTGGGCAAAAAGTTGACAACACTTTGAACACAAACTCTATCACTTGCGATGTCTCTTTCAAAATAACCCGAGAAACAAAATATGTATGCTCCTGTGAAGAATGCAAGTCACTTTCTCTTCATTACCTTGAGCCTGCAGTAGAAGGTCAAACAGCTGATCTTCCACTTACATGTCTAAAGCAAAAAAAGGCTCGGCGTTTAACACTAGATGAAGCCTACTGGTTCATTAAAAAAAATAAAAAAGAAGAAGTGAGCTATTAAATGATAATTATGAATATTATTTTTAAGTTCTTTGTAGTCAAAGCGAATCTCCCAGCAAGAGATGTATGATATTTCAAAAAGAGTTGGAAATGGAAACAAAGCATTAGAGCTAGCAGCTGTTTTAGGAATGTACGACAAGTATAAGTGTCTTAATGATCCTACTTCAAAGATAAATCCTATTCTACAATTGCTTTATGATTGGGATATTGGAGGTGGTGAAAGAATGTCTTTAGTTGCCTCACTTGCAAAAAATTGGGTTAAAGCACCTCGCCAAAGAGTAAGATTTTTTACATTTTTAATAATTTTATTTTTCTTTTATCAGAGTAGAAAAGGCTAGTTATGCTGATAATACCAAGTCCAAAAAAGTATGTTTTACCACTGCATTTTTATAGTATGATCATGGTATAAAGGTAACAAAAGTGAAACCACGATCAAAGTCTGACAGTCAGTGGAAATATTTTCCTGCAAGTGATGAGACACAAAATTCAATTGAAGTTAAAATTGTTCCATAAATACATGTATACAAGTTTATATTATTTTATTCAGGCTGAGACTAATTTTGATTCCAGTCATTTAACACCACCTGATGATATTCATGATGTAAGTGACAATTGCTTATTTGTTCATTATTAATGATCATGATAGGAAAGTAATGATGGCGATATTAAACTTCCTAGTCTGTTAAATACAAGCAGCATATCTGATGGCATTCATTGTATGCAGCCACAGGTCCTTCCTTCAAGACCACGTGTGAGTAGCATAATATTTTATAAAATTAAAATGATACTAAACAACATAATATTATAAATTTTCAGGCTCATGTGAGTGAATTTAGTGGACTCACTTCAATATCTGCTGAAGTTGATAACAGCATTCTGCAATGTAGCCGTTTGTTTCCTAATCCATCTCAAAATGCCAAAGACATTGCTCCAAAATTCAATGTTTCACCCACTGTTCTTAACAGTATTCAGTGTCAACATCCAACAGATCCATCTCATCAAATATATTTAATATTAAGGTCATGGATGGAGGGCCCGTCAAAACCCACCCTAGCTGACTTGAAAAAAAGACTTCATATTTTAGATTATCATGCCCCAGCTAACAGGTATATTACATATTGCATAGAATTAAAGTTATATGTATTTTTTAGTCTCAATAGCAAATGCACTATACTATGAGAAAAACTTTTTAGGAAGAATTTTAGGCCGACTTATTTATCAGTAATAGCTACAATTATTATAGACGTTTGTACATGTATGCATTCTCAAAAAAATTATTTTTGTGCTGAATTTTAATTACTTTTACTATAATCATGCAATAAAAACTAATTGTGATTTATAAATGGTGAAACTACATCAACCATTTTATATAAAATGGCATATAAGTCACAACATAGGATACAAATTGATACAAAATTATAGCACATGATGCAAAGCACCACAGTTGATAATAAAGAGTCCGGATATTGTTATGTTTGAAACATTAATAAATCCAAGCCCATATTGAAGAAAACGTTGATTGCAGAAAATTTTAGTTTCATTCCCAAATTATGTAAGGCCAGACACATTCACAAACTGGATTAATGATTCTAGTGCCTCATTTTTATTGAGGAGTAATAGGACTGCATTGTCTTCACCTCTTGAGCACCCAAGCTGAGATCTTTTGCTATCAAAGTACAGTTGTGATGGATCAATACATTGCTACTTTTATTCTCATGAACACATAATTTTTTGAAGAGGAGAGACAAAAAGGACACAAAAAGCTGAAAAGCAAGCAGTAGAAGACCAGCTGGAGCCAACATTGTAAGAACAATGCTAGAATATTGAAATTAAAACTATTCAGGATATTTACTCAGCATAATTATATGTATGTATACATAGCAATTGAACTATGCAGTACATTTTGCATTGCTATTACACAACAACACTAACACTCGCACAGTTTCAATTACAATAAAAATCTATATACTTAATCCTCTAATTTGGATGTACATGTAAAAATACATTTAATACAATAAAGATCTATATACTTAATCCTCTAATTTGGATGTACATGTAAAAATACATTTAATACACTACATGTATAGTGCATATTATCTAATTCTATACAATAGCAAGAGTCTAAATAATGTTACATGCATACACTGTATGACACTATAAATATACTATGGTAATGTGTCTTACATAATAAGATTAGAAGCATTGTCATACACTTTTCCTCTCCTTTCAACCTCATTTTATAATTATATTATATCTATAAAAAATAAAGAATTACTTGAAATAAAGTAATAGTTGGGAAAATGTTAAATTATAATTTTTTTACAAGCTTGTTGATACCCAAAGTTTTACTTCCAAAGTGTAAATCATGCATGAAAAAGTTTGTGCTATAATTTATAAGCTCATACATGCATACATACATGCATACATGTATGTACATGCAGTAAATACCGATAAGTAATAACTTAAACAAGCTTTACTTGTACAACTACACTCAAAATCCACAAGTTAATTGACCTTTGACGCTGATACAAGAATGGCTACACGTTAATTTTGTGATATGTTCTGTGCATGCAGCAGGAAATAAGTCCAAATGATTAATTTAACACCAACAACAATAACAATAACAACAACAATAATAATAAAACAATAATTAGTAAAAATAATCGAATAATTTTAAAATTTCAAATGCAATCAGGTCAAACTTCTACATACAACAAGGCTATATTTGTTTTGGGGGAAGTTTACATGTAAATTAACTTTCAATAAAAGTAACAAGTAGCATAGAAACATCAACATAATAATGGTGATTTCAGGGCATTTTTTGATAAATCCAAGGACACTTTAGGGCATCAATATTATGTATCATAAAAATTGGTAAAGGGGTGGTTATGGAGCCAATTTTCAAAAAACCCACATGCTTTAGTCTTTGCTTTTTTCAAAAATTGGCTCATTTTAAAAAATGCTCATACCATATGCCATGTATTTTGCAGGTGTAAACTTTTGCAATTTGGCTACATTTATATTTGCAAATAAAAAATTTAATGTAAATACCACACCTACTATAATCAGCACGCTACTTTGCAGATTTTAATTTTTCAATTTTTTTAAATGCAAAAATTGTGAAATTTAATCCCCTATGGAATATATGGCATACTCAAAAAATATTTTTCAGAAACAGCTTAAATCTTTTACATAGCATTAGGGCATGAATATGTATCAAAACATGTATATAATAAAAATTGGGAATGATTTTTGAGCCATTTTTTGAAAAAACCATGGGCTTTGAAACTTTGCTTTGTTTTTAAAATCAGCTCAATTCTTAAATGGTCATAACTCAAAAACTATTTGTCAAATCAGCTCAAACTTTTGACATGGCGTAAGGGAATCAGAAAATGTAATAAAAATTAAGGGTGATTTTGGAGCTAATTTTTGGAGCCTTTGCTTTTTTAAAATTAGATCGTTTTAAAAATTTTATAACTCAAAATCTATTGCTCAAACTTTCTACATAGCATAAGGATATCAATAAGTATCAGACAATGTAATGAAAATGGGGGGGGGGTAAATTTAAAACCACTTTCTTGAAGTTATAGGTTATAAGTATCATTTAGTGACCTGAATATACCGCAAACCATTACCATATACCCCAATTGGCTACAAGTGGAATAGGCCACCACTTTCTTTAAATCATTTTGTACTACACCCGTTGTAGCTGCAAAAAAGGCTGTTAAAGCCCCGATAATTGTTACAACTGTTAACGCCATCGGAGATTTCTCAAACAATGGCCCAGACCTTATTATTAAATACACCCCTGCAGTTACCATTGTAGCTGCATGTATTAATGCCGATACCGGAGTTGGTCCCTCCATTGCATCCGGCAGTCATGTGTGTAATCCTAATTGTGCTGACTTCCCTACTGCCCCCATCAACAACAATAAACAGATCGCCGTCATATGCGGCGCATCCGTAC